TGTCATCATGAATTTATTAACAATCTGTGCATCTGAGAATGGTACGAGAAGTTAATACATTAGGCAATCACATTATCAACAACAATTAATGCATAATTGATGGTCATTCACTTGCGGTAGGTATTATACGTGAAGATGATATGTACGTGCACATGCACAAGCAAACTACTTTTAATTGAGGTTGGGTGTCTACCATAGGATGTGAAACTGAATAAATTAAATTGAATGACGAACAAGTAATTTAGGGTGGATTGCACAAAATTTAATTAAGAAACGGGTACTTAATTCAGGGAAAAAAAATATATATGAGTACTTGGTCAATGAGTCAGTAATCTAGCGGTATCAAGTTTTTAAAAGGAAGTTAGGGATTTAAAGACCTCAATGAAAGCATTTGTGTGTCAATACTAAAAAAAAAAAAAAATAGAAAAAAAAATAGAAAAAAAAATGTACCTAGCCAAGATATAGTTACTTGGAAACATGGTGCTGCTAACTTCAAGGCCTTTTGGCAGACATACAAACAAACTCATGGCACGCAAGAACAAATGATTCAAGGTGGTTCGGAATATAAGGGAAGACCAGCTGCCGATTTCACTTCAATATGGTGGTACCTACACCGACTAATCTTCACATAAAAGAGGCTTGTGTGTAACCTCTGTCTGCCTTAACTGTAGCTTGTAGGGTTATATATAGACATAAAACCCTAAGTAGTTAGTACAACTGTACAAGGTAGAATGGGCATGGTTCCACGAGTACTATATATGATCTAACAACCACCTTCAAGCTAAAGCTAGAAGGTATCAACAGCTGCCGTGGCTGGGCGTATCTAGGGGGTGGGCTTAAGCCCATCCCAAATTTTTTTTTACAATAGTCAAATTTAGCTCAGTCAAAAAAAAAAAAAATTTATTACTAGTATTAGCCCATTAAAAAAATATTGGTCCACTCCATTGACAATTCTTTGATCCGCCCGTAATACCCAACTTCTGTACGTACTAAACCACCGAAAAATCACAGTTTGCTTCTTGCCGAGAGACAAGTTAATACCAAGAAAGAAACAAAATCCTATAGCAGAACGAAGATTAGTCCGCATCAGTATAAGAGCACGAAGTACAAGCGGTGAGTTGGAAGAGATATGAAGTTCCATAAAACATGGTACCCTTGAGATAGCGGAGGTTGCGAAAAACAAACAATAACAAATGAGTTGACTAACTACATGGACAGCCTGAAAGATGTTTGGACGAGTGATAATGAGGTATACCAGACTACCAGCCAATTGTTAACCGTGTGGAATTTCGTAGACCAACGTCCCAAATTGGATTCTGGGTTCCCATTCCCAGGTATTTTTTAGGCAAGTTTGATCCAATTCGGCGTCTCTCTTCTCTGCCTACAAAGCAAACACTTTCAGTACCCATCTTCAAATAATTTGTCTGCACCTTTTCTTTTTTTATAATTGATGTTAAATGTGAGTCATCAAACTTTATGCCATTTGCAGATGAATGTTTCTTCGTCCTCCACTATATCATCCTTCTCCCCACCATCCTCTGAACTGAACAATCATGATTAGATTCTTTCAAATCAAAGGGGCTTCATACTCAGCTCACTATGCATTGAGTGGGTGGATAAAATTGAAACTGGCAATGCAAATTGAATATCAGCTCAATGGGAAAGAAAGAATCGATAGCTCTTCAAAAGTCTTATATTTTCACTAAACCAAACAGAGCCCAACTCGTTATGATATGTATGCAGATATCTATTGCTTTGTAATTTTAACCAACACCATTTTAAAATTTTCTTGTGGACAGTTGTGGAGAAATGGGGGTGAGGAAACCACAAGATAGCATTAGAAACTGTTGGGAGACATGCAAGTTTTTAAAACTTTTGAGGGATTTGCAATCATAGATCTTGATTCATCACACAGAGACAAGTTTTATGCAAAGATAAATAAAAGATGATGCATAATTCAATAAACAGATTGAATACTTACATTAAAGGTCTGAGTAAACCTTTTGAACTTTCCTCTAAAGTGAATGTTCTCACTTATTATAGATCCCTTTGGCAAGATCCTTTCTCCTTCCGTTTGATTATTATCTTCCCTTTAGGAATCACCAATATGCCTTGATGAATGATCTTGGAATCTAGACTGGTGGTAGCCTCATTTAGAAGAGAAAACAAAACCCTAAAATCTGGAGAGATAAAGTGTATTCCTTTTTCTTGTTCTCCAAGTCACACCTAAAATATACATGAACTCATGTATATATAGGCAAAATAAAAATAAGAATAAGGAAACAATAAATCATTCCCCATCTCTAATTCAACTTTTTCAATCCTAACATGATTCCAATATCAACTTGGGCTATTGGTGAGAATCCTTTTGGGCTTACTATTTTCTTGACTCCTATAAATTAATAATTGGTCCGGTCCATTAAACCATGGACCCAATTCAATTAATTCATAAATTAATTTCTACTCCACTAAAAGAAATTAATTGCACTCCAATTAAATAGTAAATAACCTCTAAGTCAATGTTGCACTTTGACCCCCTCTATGCTTAATTATTTATCGGATAATTAAAGCCATCAATCCGACAACATAATTAATATAATTATTTTGTTACCTTTGATTATTTCCGGCTCGATCACAATAAAATATTTATTTGACAAAAAAAAATAATAATTTATTAAATATATATATATAGAAAATATTTGTCTAAAACATACGAAAGCCTTCGAATTTAATTTGTGATCAACCATAATCAAAACAAAATAAATACAAATAGCACTGATGCAAATATTGAGAATATAGACCTCTAATTATTAATTACATAACTACCCAAAGTGTCGATCTAAGGATCCCGAGGTATCCGCCGAACAAATCAAAGTAATTATTAATTAATAAAAGAGTCTATACTTCTCTCATGCTTGAGAGTCAAAAGCCATAACTGTGATAAAGAGCAATTGCATACGACAGCTCTCGTAATATATCTCAATCTATCGTGGACTCGGTTTAAGTCTTAACTAATTAAATGTCCATCCATAATTACCGACTTTAAACCATTTATGATTACTAATTTATATCATAGTATTAATTGCCATTACATACAAATATATTTTGTAATCAAGCAGACACCATCAATTCCATAAAGAATCGAAAAATAATACATTCCATTCACCAATTGTATAATGCTTTAATAATAATATCCAAATAAGAAACCATGACTTTTACAATCCAAAATTAGAATTTGCTATGTTAGGGCACATATATCAAGTTTTTAAAAGGAAGTTAGGGGTTCAAAGACCTCAATGAAAGCATTTGTGTGTCAATACTAAAAAAAAAAAAAAAAAAAAAAATTAGAAAAAAAAATGTACCTAGCCAAGATATAGTTACTTGGAAACATGGTGCTGCTAACTTCAAGGCCTTTTGGCAGACATACAAACAAACTCATGGCGCGCAAGAACATATGATTCAAGGTGGTTCGGAATATAAGGGAAGACCAGCTGCCGATTTCACTTCAATATGGTGGTACCTACACCGACTAATCTTCACATAAAAGAGGCTTGTGTGTAACCTCTGTCTGCCTTAACTGTAGCTTGTAGGGTTATATATAGACATAAAACCCTAAGTAGTTAGTACAACTGTACAAGGTAGAATAGGCATGGTTCCACGAGTACTATATATGATCTAACAACCACCTTCAAGCTAAAGCTAGAAGGTATCAACAGGTGCCGTGGCTGGGCGTATCTAGGGGGTGGGCTTGAGCCCATCCCAAATTTTTTTTTACAATAGTCAAATTTAGCTCAGTCAAAAAAAAAAAAAAAATTATTACTAGTATTAGCCCATTAAAAAAATATTGGTCCACTCCATTGACAATTCTTTGATCCGCCCGTAATACCCAACTTCTGTACGTACTAAACCACCGAACAATCACAGTTTGCTTCTTGCCGAGAGACAAGTTAATACCAAGAAAGAAACAAAATCCGATAGCAGAACGAAGATTAGTCCGCATCAGTATAAGAGCACGAAGTACAAGCGGTGAGTTGGAAGAGATATGAAGTTCCATAAAACATGGTACCCTTGAGATAGCGGAGGTTGCGAAAAACAAACAATAACAAATGAGTGGACTAACTACATGGACAGCCTGAAAGATGTTTGGACGAGTGATAATGAGGTATACCAGACTACCAGCCAATTGTTAACCGTGTGGAATTTCGTAGACCAACGTCCCAAATTGGATTCTGGGTTCCCATTCCCAGGTATTTTTTAGGCAAGTTTGATCCAATTCGGCGTCTCTCTTCTCTGCCTACAAAGCAAACACTTTCAGTGCCCATCTTCAAATAATTCGTCTGCACCTTTTCTTTTTTTATAATTGATGTTAAATTTGAGTCATCAAACTTTATGCCATTTGCAGATGAATGTTTCTTCGTCCTCCACTATATCATCCTTCTCCCCACCATCCTCTGAACACCCACTATGCATTGAGTGGGTGGATAAAATTGAAACTGGCAATGCAAATTGAATATCAGCTCAATGGGAAAGAAAGAATTGATAGCTCTTCAAAAGTCTTATATTTTCACTAAACCAAACAGAGCCCAGCTCGTTGTGATATGTATGCAGATATCTATTGCTTTGTAATTTTAACCAACACCATTTTAAAATTTTCTGAAGTCTGTGGACAGTTGTGGAGAAATGGGGGTGAGGATACCACAAGATAGCATTAGAAACACCACAGTAGTATAGAAGAAAACTGCATAAAAGACCTTGGTTACGCAGTCGAGTGAAAAGGGTGCTTCATGAAATACTTGGACGACTCACAGCTTGATGGTCATTTGTAAGAACCAACTCATTTGTGAGGGTTTAATTTATGAAATTCAATAGCAAAGTGAAATAGAAAACTAGATCAAACTTCCAAGCTGTGCTTGTTTTATTCATTTTCTCAGTAAGCAGTCTGACAAAAGCAGAAAAAGAGACGAGCTGTAGCTAGGCTTAGCCCTCAATCCCTAACATAATGAAGAACAAAAGCCCACACCAGAGAGAAGTTTATACAAAGAAAACAATGCATGCTAAGATACAAGTCCGACCCATAGAATTCAGTTCCAATCACATACATACCGAAGAACATAAACCAACACCAGCGAGAATGGATACAAGAAAAATGCTAAGATACAAGTCCAGAGAGGATAGGTGGAGCGCAAGAACGCAAGCAGACCTATAATGGCACAAACCACCAAAACAACCAGCACTTCACTTGAATAGTCCCATGTCAAGCCTTTCATATATATAACTGCTAGAAATGTTGACAAGGTCATTATGTTGTTCATACCAACTCCACCATAGATCTGCCAACCACCAAATTGAACACTTCAAGTTCTCCCAAATTGAAAATCACTAAAATAACTAAAAATCACTGTAAAAGAAGAAACTAACTGAGAGAGAAACCTCTGAAAATGTCAAGGAAGCGATTTTCAAATTCTTTTGACTTGCAGGAAAGATGGCTGATGCCGCCACTCTAGCATTCAAGGCCAAAGGAATTACCACAAAAGAGATGAAGAAAGTAGGTATGCGTACAGAAACCGATAATTCATAGACAGCATCTACCAGAGGCCCTGCAAGAAAAGTCACAATTGCAATGCCCAAGATGACTAGCAATACCGCCTTCATGCAATCCCACGATAAAAACGTATTAATGATGCCTTCTTTCTTTTCCACCTCATACACCAATGAATCGACTTCTTTCCACTGTTTCCAAGTAATCTGCAGATTCAAAAGCAAGATTTTGTGATGCAATAATTGATTTGCACAAAGCATGGAGTGAAGATTAACTACCATTCAGAAAATATTTTTTTAATGGCATGCTCATATTAACTTAGGAACTACAAAATTGTGTCAGGTCAAGCATGACTAAATCAGTAACAAATGAGTCATCGTGACGACTACCTGATCAAATTCATCAATAAACCTTTCTGAGTCCTTGCAATTGGACACACGGACAGCCTCATTAATCCATTTCTTGATTCCATCGACAAATTCTCTCTCATCTATCATAAGGTTACCATCTTCATCAAATTCCTTCATCACTTTTGCCACCACCCCATTATGATTCAGTTCTGTTCCGAAGGTAATGTTTTGAATCAATTCTTTTAGTTCAGATTGCTCTATAAGTCCATCATTACTTTTGTCCAACTGCTTAAAGAGACTGGCAAAATAATTTTTGTAAGAAGAAGTAATATCAAGAAAAAAGTCACCATAAGCAAGGTAAAAACTAGATGAAATATTAAAAAATTAACCTTTTTATGTGATCTAGATTAGGTCTTCCATCCTGAGTGAGGAGGCCTCTGGCTTCAAGTACTTCATAATGAGCGTGCTTCAAAATTCTTGCCATAATACACTCAATTTTGGTAAGTTCAAGTCGTCTCTTATCAATCCATGGCTGAACAACCTGCATAGATGCTTCTCAAAGTAGGTTTTTTTCATAAGAAAAATGTAGTTAACGTAACTATTGATTAAGTCGTATAGAGGTGCACCATGTCCCACTATTCCAAGGAGGCCTCAATATTAATTTTCTAAATTTTGATTTTGGTCTTGTAAGATGCTAAATTTTCATTTCTTTTCCTTTTCGTCTTTTCAATGACTTGGCCAAGGATGAGTATGATCACTGTAAATAAGACGTGGTTTTGAAACAATAGTCTAATGCAATCGAAATGAAATGATACAAAACATTGATTTTCGTATTGGAATTGTATGTGTGTGTTTGTGCACGCGTGAGCACATTAGTAAATAATATTCCACTTCTGTAAGGATCGATAGTAATGCTCAATGGATGTAAGAGGTTGCCACTTCTGTTATCTAAACAGAAGTTGCTACGTCCATTAGGTGACAATGAGGTTGCTTGCCTGTTGAAAAGATTTTCTTGCTTTAGGACCCCCACATTCAACTAACTCTTTGGCTCTATTTATCCCATCTTCGCATCCCTTGATGAACTCTTCTTCACTAATCATTTCATCCTTGTTCAAGTCAAATGCCCTAAATGCATCAAGAATTGAAAATTCATTGTCTAACTGCACATTTCCAGTTTGAATCTGCAGCATCAGATCTGCCATATCCGAAGGTTTTACGTATCTGTCTGCATCTCTATCAATTTGATTGAATAATCTGCATGATAAATTTGAAAATTAGCAACTTCAGAAGTGGGACTAGAAAGCTGATACTATTTTATTACTTCCATAGCTTCACATGTGCAGCTGTCAAACGGGGAAGTAACTAATTTAAAAAACACCAATGCTAAGTTAATATTACACTTAATATATACCAAGGTGACTGTCAGGGATTCCATGGCTTTACACAGACTCAAACAGACATTATATATGTCATCAAAAGACAACCTTCTGATCTCAGGAATGTTTGGTTCCCCTTCCTCAGTAACCAGCTTTCCTTTTGCATGCCTTTGCACATGCTGCATAAATCCGAGAAGCAGATGTTCATACTTCATGTATTCTAAACTTCTTTCTTGAATCCATGGATCATAAACCTGCAAATACACCATGATGTACACTCTAAGAGATGCTCCAAGCTACTGCCACTTTGTGCATTGAAGATTAGGAATGCGGATCAATGGAACAAATTAACATCATATTTTAATTGAAGTACCTGATATGCGAAGCTTGAGAGTAGCAACAGCACTGATACTATCAGTGCAATCAAAATCACCACGCGACTCCCAGATGATGTTTCAAAAATATTGGATAGTTGCAGTATTGTAAATGGGATCAAGGACAGAAGCATAAATCCAGCTGTATAGCTGGTCTTGTTATCAGTTGTAATACCAGAACCTGTGAATACATATAGGAAGAGAAAGTGGCTCAGTTCTGGTTTGCATATAGCCATATACATTCCAAGTTGAACTAATTTAACATAGATAAATTCACTGGTATAAAATAAACAGACCAGTTAAGTGTGATAGTTTTTCTTCAACCAGCAAACATTTTGAAGTTGAAGGTTGTGAATCTTGGGAAGTTGATGATTTTGATTGGATCTCTTTTCTGCCGAAAATTACACATGCCCCCCACTGCAATGTAAGACGAAAAACACTCCTTCCAGCTAGCATGCCAACTCCCATGACCATCGAAGATTGAGCACTCTCTTTGTTTTTAGAAAGTCCAGATACTGCATGCACACATTGAATTATGAAGAGCAGAGTTCACTGACTCATGGTTAGCTTCATTTAGAAGATCATGTTTTGTAGTACACTAAGAACTCATCCAATTAGGCTGGATATGTATATGTTTTATAAATTGAATCCCCTCCAATTTCATGCACAAAATAGTTAAAAATGGACAATCTTATTTTGGAAGTCACGTAGATTGATTACACCTAATATACCTAAATAAAAAATTAGATCAAGTCCACATTAACAAGGATCAGAAAGTTGGCAAATGAACAAGGAAGAGATGGAACTTACTGAGAACTACCACAACTCCTGGTAGTACCATAAGGATGCGAAAAATAATAGCACCAAATATGCCAGTGCCAAATACGTTGAAGAGCCTCTTGCTACCCTTTGTTAGAAACTTTTCCCCAACAACCAACAAGTATTGATAGATCAGTATTTGAAATATGTAGCCTGCAACGTTGTCTGCACATGGAAAAAAGCCATAGTAGTGGTGGCAGGTTTCTGAAGAAGACGAGGACAAGCCATCAGAACCAAGAATTATTGTAGATGGATTGTCAAGATGATCAACTCCATCTGAGACCAGTACTTCTGATATGGATTCAAGTCTTGAAAATCGGCCTTGCACCTTGCCAACCTCAAGGAGGAGAAAGGCCATACATAATACTAGGCTTGTCATAGTTAAGAAACAACTTGGAACAGCTTTGATCCGTTGATTGAGATTAGGTGGCTAATATAAGATATGAAATTGAATAAAATTAAATTACAAAAAAACAAGTAATTTAGGATGGATTGCACAAAATTTAATTAAGAAAAAGGGTACTTGGCCAAGATATGGTTACTTGGAAACATGGTGCTGCTAACTTCAAGTCCTTTTGGCAGGCATGAAAACAAACTCTATCACAAGAAAATATGCTATAAATTGGTTTAGAATAAGGGAAGACCTGTTGTTTGATTCTGCAGAATAAGGTACCTTCACTGACTAATCTTCAAAGCAGAGGCTTGTGTGTAAACTCTGTCTGCCATAATTGCATGAATAGTATTAACACAGTTGAGCATTTATTCTTTTCCTGTATATATCATCAAATTCCTTTGGAAATAGCTGGTGATGCTACTTCAAGGGAATAGATTTCTATTCCAGAATTTATTAGAACTCTACTTTGTAACACATATGGTGGAATTGAAATCAACACCTCATGATGAAGCTAGTAAAAGTTGTAGTCAGACATGACTAAAGAAACAAGCTCCTCAAAAGTGTAAAGGTTATTTGCAATAAAACTTGGCATTTTGATCCAATAACTAGAGAAACAAGCTCACTTGAAAATATTCTGATTACAGTCTTTTCTATTAGTACATTAATTATCTGATGGACTTGTATTCTAACATCCAAAATTTTACAAGAGCATTAAATTATTAAAGAAAAAACAATTTTTAGAAAGGAGAAAGAAATATCCAAAAGTAATTGAACATTGAAAAGACAAGTTAGCCTGAGAGGGGTTTTTCATGCAAAGGTGCTTCTTTTTATTTTATTCTTTTGTTTTATTAAAATATGACAGAAATACTCAGGACAGAGCCAAGAATTAGGTTAGGGGGCATTTCAAACATGGCATATATATATATATATATATATATATTGTTTTTTAACTAAAGTGCGGTAGATAACAAGTCGAAAAATAGTAGGGTAGTAACACTGCATTACATTTACTGTACTTTCACCCCTTGTTTAAATTTTTCACTAATTTGTCAACGAAAACACAAAACAGAAGTTTTTATCAGAAAAAGAAGAATTTGTTGTGCTCTTATAATCAATATATCATTGATTCATTGTGTATTTGGAGGGGGCAGCTGGCCCCTGGCACTTGGACAAATAACCCTAATTTGCTTTGCCGGATAATTACCACCGGTTCTCCACCACCCCATCCCAAAAAAGAAGCCCTAATTTATATACTCATAAAAAATTAGAAGGAGAGAGATTTCGGGTAGCTCGGGTCAACCCGAAGACAAGTGCTTATGATACTTCGAAGCGAAACAGACTACTTACACACAGTGACACAGACATACACTCACACTCACACTCACACTCGCACTCACACATGCCTCAATTCTGGAAACCAGGGTCCGAGAGGCCTCGCCTCCTCGACGACGAAGAAGGCGGTGTTCTTTTCTATACCACCTCTTCCTCCTCATCATCTGGGTACTTTTCTTCTTCAATCGTTGTGTTTCTTTGTGTGTGTATATATGTTCGAATGTGTATAACTGTATATTAGTATCATATATTCATATATGCAAATGTTCCTTCGGTTCACAGATTTGGCTATGCAAGCATAGAGAAGCAGAGGCAGAGACTCCCTGTATACAACTACCGAACAGCTATTCTATATCTAGTGGAGACTCACGCAACAACTATTGTTGTCGGCGAGACCGGTAGTGGCAAAACCACTCAGATTCCTCAGGTTCACTTTCCCTTTGTATACCTTTTGTATCATGTTGTGCTCTTATAATCAATATATCATGTTCCAATTTCATTACTGAGACTTCACTTATAGAGGGTCATATATCATGTTCCAATTTCATTACTGAGACTTCACTTGTAAAGGGTCTTCCTGTGGAAATCTAACATGAGATTGACCCACAATTTGAACAAGTCCATCAACGTTTTTTTTCATAGCATTTTGATCAGTGTTAGGGTTTCTCAAAATTACAAAAAAATATAGGGCCTGCTTGGTTCAGTTTTTAATTTTTTGAAAATTAAAAATTATAAACTGTACAAAAACCTGCTTGATTTACAGTTTCTGACAATTGTTTTATGAAAACTCAGTTTAAAAAAAAGGTCTGTTTTAGAGAATGGTCTTTTATTGTTCTCTGAAAATATTTTTCTATTTTCTTAGTTCTTGAGAACTGTTTTCTCAGTAAAAAACCAAGTAGACCCATAACTTTTGTAATTATTTTTGGTGTTAGCTTCATTTTATTTAGTGGGTCCTTTCCATAGCACATTAAACCTGTGTATAACTGTGAAAAAGAAAGCGTGAGTGAATGAGCTGATTACTACTATATCAGACACACACAAACTAACGCGTACACATATAAAAATAAAATTGTTGTGTATGTATTTTTTATGTTTAAAAATGATTGTGTATTTTGAAGATATTTGAATGAATGCATTGTGTGATAAATTCAAATCTTCTACTTTTTTTGTTTTGTCTGAAATTGCAGTACCTCAAAGAAGCAGGTTGGGCTGATGGTGGACGCGTCATTGCTTGCACTCAACCAAGACGATTGGCTGTCCAGGTATTATTTTCTTAGTTTGTGCTATGTCGGATATGTTATATTTTATGTTTTCATTGCAAGTACTTATGAGGTTGTTTCAGTTGCTATGATACTATTTTGGTGAGGATGTTCTACATGGAGGAAAATGTAGTCAGTATAGGAGTAAAAGATGTGTGGCATGTAGTTTCGAAGAGTTTTTTCATTAAAAGTGACTTTTCATAAATTCAAGGACTCTGTAATTGTACTCTTAGGACTAAGATTTGTTCTTGTATCCTTATTTGGATGAACTTGTATCTTAATGAGAATGTTTTAATCACACTATCTTTAATTGAGGGAGAACATGAAATTCAGCCCAGTAGACCATATACTAGAGGCTTTAGCTAAGTTGATATTGATTTGTGAAGGTTACAACTACTTCTTGTTCAAGTGCTATCAATATATCATGATCTTAATCCCTGACACTGAATTTGTTAATTGATGGATTAAATAGACCGGCGATGCTTGCCATATTCTTTTAACCAGAAAGGCGGTAGCCGGTAGGAAAAGATTTTTCTGCATTCGTGGATGTAATGGATCATGTTACACTAACTATAAGAGATATAGTGCTTTACTAGTTTCACCATGTTTGATGATCCTTTTCTTTAGCTAACACTTGAAATAAGGAACCTGATGGAGGGGAAGCTATGAAAGTAAAGGATGGAACAACTTCGAATCCACAAAATTCAGAGAGACAAATTCTGATGCGTTAAAAAAAAAAAAATGCTGCAACTATAACCACTATTTATAAAGGTAAAAGAATCCTAAAAATTGAAGGAATCATTTTTAAATTGGTTCAATTTGGCAGTGTCTGAAAAAATAGAGATAAGTTCCTAATTACTTAACTAAACCAAAAAAAAAAAAAAAAAAAAAAAAAAAAAGATCAAATTTCAGATTCAATCCAAATTCATTTAGACCTCGCAAAAGAATTCCGAAATATTCGATAGTCTTCCTATAGAACTGAAAAACGCGATTTTGGGGATGGATTTTGGCCAAAAATGACATGGACCACAAGCAAAGCTCGTGGGCATTGATTGTTAAGAATTATGCCTCGAAAATTTGCTGCTAATTGTTTTTTAGATCTTACCTACCTCTTGAGTTTCTTTTTCTTTTTTCTGTATGCTGTTTACTGCTCTTTTTCTGATGGTTCACTTTACTTTGATATCTATAAAGAATTATTTTATTCACCTCTTAGAAGTTTAAGGTTTTTCTGATGCATAGGCAGTTGCTTCAAGGGTGGCTGAAGAGATGGGTGTCAAATTAGGAGAGGAAGTTGGTTATACGATTCGATTTGAAGATATTACAAATACAGTGAGAATTCTTGTCTCTTATTTGCTGTTTTTAAGATTACATAAAACGAGTGCATCTTTCCCAATATGTTGCATCCCACATGGTGTGTAATGTGTATTGATAATCTAAATGGTTATTTACAGTAGGATCAAATTGTTTTATATCAGTCATGTGGTTGTATTTGCGTACTATGGAGTGCTGGGAGTTTTCTTGTTTTGACAGTGCAGGGTGTAACTAGGATCAAATTTCTTACAGATGGGGTGTTACTCAGGGAAATGATGGATGATCCTCTCTTGAGCAAGTATAGGTACCCATTTATAATTCAGAAGCAAACCATAAAAATTTTGTCCTTTTTTACTCTTTTCTTTATCATGTAAACAGATGCACTTTTAAACTTCTTGTAATATCTATCTATAATTAACAAGACTAATATATAAAATGGAAATCAGTAGACCTCCTATACAATTTGGGACAATAAAATAGTGAAAATTTACCACCAAAGGCTGAAGCCTAGTGGTATCTCCTCTACCTCCTAATATTGGAGGTGAGGGTTTGATTCCCCGTAGGGACAAATGGGTGTGTGAATTTCTTGCCCATGAAAAAAAAATATAGTGAAAAATTGATGGCCATAAAAACTTATAAGCAACTTGTTTGGTATCTTACTCTGGTCCCCCTCCACAAGGAGGGACAAAAGAATGGTGGACATTGAAAAAAATAGTTATAGTACGCTGAATGAACATAAATTGCTTTTATAATGTTGTCCAATCTTTAGATTTCATCTATGTGATTAGAGGATAAAGACTTTTTTAATATCTTAAATAACAATGAATCCAGATAAATGAATGATAAATTAAATAAGATATTATCTAGAAGATTATTATGGCAAGATGTATTTGAAGATTATAAAAAAAAAGAGTGTGCCAAGTGATATTCCTATCTCCAAAAGAACTTCATTTTTGTATGTGTCAAGTAGGGCACCAAAATACCATTGTGCTAATAATGCCAAAGAAGAGCCTATGTAAATTGGAAGTACGTACTTCCTAGGTACTCAGCCAGTCAAAATAATCTGAGATTTAGATTTATCAACTGGCTATTAGCCCAATGGTATAACCTTCCTTCCCTAAAAGGGGGAGGGAAGTGGGGCAATGTGTGTGAGTACTTACCTAATAAAAATAAATAAAAAATAAAAATAAGATTTATTACCTAACATTTATCTTTGTTGTTTTAGAAAGTCACTGTGAGTTTGCACCTGAGAACAATGTAGGAATATCTACCTTATAGAATCGAATTGCATTGGTATTTACTTACATTTTGGATCATCACTTCTAGGTTGATCATAGCTTTATTTGCTGCCAACTCTTTGGTGCATCTGAAAGGATTAAGTTCCATGGTGGGTCATAGGAATTACTTTTGGATGGACTATGTCCGCTTCCACTAATCCTTATTATTATTGTATTCATTTTGCAATTTCATGTGTGTGAATATTCTGGAGGGGTGGCTCGGCTAACTTAATCTAACTTTAGGATTTGGTAATTTTGTTTGATTTATCTTATTTGTCTATACATTTGGCATTAACTATTTTAACATGACAATTCCAGTGTTATAATGGTGGATGAAGCTCATGAAAGGTCTCTTTCAACAGACATCTTATTGGGTCTTCTGAAAAAGGTACTTTTTCAAAAATTAGGATTAACCTGTGATTGAAGTTAGTGATTGTATTGAAGTTAGTGATTGTTTTTTTCAATCCTATACTTCTTGACCTAATTGCTAAATATGTAGATCCAACGGCGTCGACCTGAGCTGCGTCTCATTATCTCATCCGCTACAATTGAAGCAAAATCGATGGCTGCTTTTTTCCAAACCAGGTTTTCTTCGTAATACCTTTATAATATTGGGTTCTAAATTTGTTTAATTGGTTGATGTTGCCATTCTATTTTGTGCAGCACACATCTGTGTGGAAATGTTTCATAAAGGCATTGCAATTTCAATAGTCTAGTAATTTTTTGTTGGTACATCTTGAGTGTCTTTCCATGTATCTACACGTGTATCTCTGTAGACTGGCCTCTCCTCTATCTAGGTCGACTCCTTGTCGAAACCCAAAATCTTTACAAATTTCTTGGTTTCTTGTGCATGAGTGATTCATGGAGACTAACTCCAGTTGCTTCCAGTTTTTAGTTGGAGGCATTTGTTTTAAAAATACAATCTCTTTTGGAAAACCTGCACCTTCCATCTAAAATGGCATTATCCTCCTAATTGTTTCATATAGCTGGTTTTGCGTAATCCTGCTTTGCTCAAAGTTATATATGTTCCATTAATGTCCAATAAGATGGATAATTTTCAAGATCATTTCATTGATATACTTATTTAAGCTTCAATCTTTTAGTCCTGAATCGTTGGAAGGATTAACAAGTTGAATTTTAATCTGGAAAAGTTGTCATAATTCTAATTTTGACTTAATTTTTGAATGTTCATTTGGTCAAGTATCTTTGGATCTACCTCTAGGTTTCTAATACTTGTGGATGTATTTTGTTGTATTATTTGTATCAGAACTTAACACATACAAGCTGGTAGGCTTTGTAGAGTTGGAATGCCTGAAGTTAATCCATTTAACGTGCATTACTCTTGATTCACACTGATTGAACCCAACACCAATTGGCAGCTCGGCCTAAATCTCATGTACTTCTCTTTCCATAGCCCAAACAAGATAGTGAATGGAGCAAGGGTTTATATGAACTTAATAAAGCCTAATAAATGTGCTAGAACATCAAATTAATTATAGTTTGCCGAAGGATGCCTGAAAACTCAAGAGACTCTAAGCAAACTTGCAATGGAGTTCATGATGTCAATTTTATAACTGAGCTATTCACCCATGTTTTTTTTTTTTTATAATTATTTTCAACATCGTCCATGACTCTAATTTTCCAATAACTAAAAATTATCTTTTTTGTGAGAAGGGAAAAAAAATTACTTGTCTCGCATAATTTTCTCAGTTTCCCTCTTTCTTTTGTCCTTTCTCTATTTCTGTCCCTTTCTTTTATTTCTATGTTACCATGAATAGTTTTCAACCTGATTTGGTGGCCCTGACCATGGCAAAGCTTTAGGAATTTTTTTTTGAACACTTCTAACACTTTCATCAATTTCTACTGCTTGTGGTTTTATGGTCCTAGGTGTCAGTTAATTTTTATTTTTATTTTTATTTTGTAAGTTTATTGATTTCACGTAGTCAAGATTGATTACTTGAAAAGTCATCAAGTGCTCTCTCTCTCTCTCTCTCTCTCTCTTTTTTCTTCTCTATCTGTGTGTGTGTGCGCGCGCGCACGCGCACGCAAGTGTCCTATGTCCGTCCATTACAACACAAACTTCTTATGTTTATTGAAAACTAGCAAAAGGCGTTTAGGACTGGAAGCTGAGGAGCATGGACCGAGGACAGAGCCTGCCATTCTGTCGGTTGAGGTATGCTATACTGGATTCTAACTCTTTATATACTATTTATTGGAAGACAACTTTGATGTTTCTGAAATGGATTTAGCTTTCATTTGAGATTATGACTTATCATAGAGGTATAATAAATTAAGGTATCAAAATTATTTACTTTACTTTCAGGGAAGAGGATTTAATGTACAACTTTTTTATGTTGAGGAATCTGTTCCAGACTATCTCCAAGCTGCTGTTTCAACAGTACTGTCAATTCATGATCAGGTGCGTAGAAGCTTGTGATAGGATGACTTAATTATGTGAACTTTCTTGCCAACCAATATATGAACTCTAATTGTAGGGCGGTTCTTTTCGGTGTCCAATAATACATGTATATAGTTCTGGTTTCTGCTTAGATACTTCCCTTTCAACTATGCCAGCAATATTTCATATTATTAGGAACACAGCCACAAACACAGAAAAATGGAGACACGTATAAAGTTTTATTTGCATACTTGATACTTCACTTCTGGCAATATCAGCTATACATAAAGATAACAAGAAAAGGTCATTAAATCGACTCTTTTCCATATACTTTGGCTTAGAATATTTCTGTCTCTTCAGACTTTGGAGTATTGCCACCCTCTTAACTTTCTCTCTTATCATGTTAGTACTTAGTTATTGCTTACTGAATTCTGACAAATTACCCCCTTCCCATCCTCTAATTAGTTTTCCAAGCCATTTTTGTTTCTTACATCCTGTAAATCTCTCTTAATTCAACAAAGCCTTAAGCTCCAACCACTATGAGTCTGTTGCATAAATCTTTTTTGAACATTCAGCTTTATTTTGGGCCGTGTTTGTTGTTCAATTATGGATAATCATATATTTTCTTCTCCCCCAACCACCCTTGTTAGAATTTTCTCAATCCACACTTTTTGGGCCACCCTTTTGTTCTTTAACATCACCAACTTAATTATTTAACTCCGTACTTTTGTGGAGGCCTACATAACTTCTTTTCTTCTACTTGTTTATCGATTACAATCAGAATGTGATGGATACCTCCTATTTGAAAATGTATACATTTATTTTTGTTTTGTTCTAGTTTTTGTCTTTTTTTTTTTGTTTGTGTTTTTTAAGTGTGGAAGGATCAATAATACTGGTCATACATTTACATTTGTTTTCTAGGAGCCAATGGGTGATATCCTAGTATTCTTAACTGGTCAAGATGATATTGATGCTGCAGTCCAATTGATCACAGACGAAGCTCAAAGTAATGGAAAGTCTGCTTCAGGTATCCTTGATTTAGGATTCATCATTTACAGCAAGGCAATCTTTTCTGGGTAGTTGTCTCTCTGAAGTCATTTTTTCTTGGCATATTGGTGGTTAATATTTTCAACTTAAATTAATACATGTTGAATTCATATTTAAGTTTCAATCTACTTTTTAGCTTAGGGCTTTCTTGGATTCCTATGCAATATATCGGAATGTCTCTTTTTTATTGATAAGTAGCAATATGTCTGAATGTCTCTTTACAGTTGTGTTCTCATTATCACATAAAATTAAAATTTTCTTTTTATTCTTGACTAAGATTCGGTTTTCAGAAGACTATTTTAGTCCCCTGACGGTTTCGTATTTGTTCAAACCTATAAATAATTGAACATTAGAAATAAATTATTACAAATTACAGCGTTACACTTACCATGACCATTTGATGAGATTTCAAATCCTTCATTAGATAAGAAATACCTTTTTAACATATTTGCAAATAACCAACTCATCATTCTTTGTCCTGCCTTTAGGTGCATGCCATGAAAAAGCAAGTTGCATCAGGATTAATCTTGCTCTATCCAGGCCTCTGGAGAAGCATCATGCATATATCATATTTTGACAGGGCTTAACACCTACATTTTTAATGTTATCCTGACCACATTATATACAGTGTATATATATATATATATATATATATATATATATATATATTTTATATCATTATCCAGCTTCATGTATTGGACTACAGTGCAACATGGAGGTTGGCAGTTTCTATTTGCAAATCGAAACTAGCCATGTTAAAAACTTAATAGCCGTATAACACAGTGCTATCAGTTTGATTTTTGTAAGAAGACCGTATGACATGCTTATCTTACAGCGTGATCTTAATTATTTTGTCTAGCTTACACAATATATCTGACCAAATTTCACTAACAGGATTGATTGTTTTGCCACTCTATTCAGGACTTTCACGTGCAGATCAGGTTAGTGTCTTATCATATGGCATCAGGGCATAATAAGTAAACGTTGTAATGATTCTTTTCAGATTTTTACTTAAGAAGTTCACTTTTATGCTTTCTTTTAGGACCTTATTTTTTCTCCTACTCCCAGAGGTAAGAGGAAGGTGGTGATATCAACAAATATTGCAGAGACCTCTCTGACTTTAGAGGTAACATCTTCACATTTTGAAGTAAAATTTGTTAGATATAAATGGAAAAGTTTCAAGCAGGCAGTGGATAGTTATCTCTTATTCCCTTCCAAAATTTTTACTTGTACAGGGTATCGTCTATGTTGTTGACGGTGGGTTCTCAAAACAGCGGTTCTACAACCCGGTATTTATAACATTGTTTCTTGTATTTTGTGTGTGTATATGTGTGTGCGCTATCAACAGGATTGGTGACAATTCTGGCATATGTTCATTAATTATTGGGTACTTATACCAATCTCCTCGAGGCTTGGTGCTACAATACGCAAATAGAACTTTTCAGTTTACAGGGTCAACCTCTACTTTAGTTGAGTTGGTCTTTTGGATTTCCCTTGCTGTTAAGACTATTAAAGCAATTTTTTTTTTTTTTTAAATGTTAGAAATGTGATTCCTTCTGTGAAAAGACTGAAAATGCCTTGTTTATGCATGTATAGACTGCTTTTCCCATTTACTAAGATTCTCAAGAGGATAGAAATACTCATAATGGAAATTGCAATTTTCTTATATTATAAACATGTATATATTACAGATTTTATTGATATATATTTGTCATATATATATATATATATGTATAAAAAATGCACTATATATTTTATTAATTATATAACAATTAATATGTAATTGAAAAGTCTTCAAATTTGAAGGCTGAATCAGCAGTTCCTTTTTTCTCCATGCTTTGATTGCCCTACATTCTCCATGCCCTTAAGTTTTTCTCTTTGTTTTTCTTTTCTTCGCCGTTCACTATTGACTACACTAGCTAGTCACCCTTTCATATCTTTTGACACGCCAACAATCAAAACCTAAAACCTAATGCCAATAGAGAAATTAACCGAATTGGGTATGCAAATTCAAGCTCTGAATGTCCAATTTGGGATTGAGAGAACAAAGAATTTGCTATGTGTTCTGGCATGGATTATAATTTTAATATTGGTGGGCACACTATCAGGGATGGCAGGATTTGTGGAATTATAAGATTGTTACCCAAAGCTTTATGTGTCTGAGTATGAGTAGTGAGTTGAAATTTAGACCTAAAGGGGCTGTAAATCAGTCTTATGGATATTAATTTTGAATTTCAGTTATTTTTAGTTAGTTATGTTGATTGTGATTTGATTCTTTATATACTCTGTTACAGATTTCAGATATTGAAAATTTGGTAGTAGCACCGATATCCAAGGCATCTGCTAGACAAAGGGCTGGTCGAGCTGGCAGAGTACGACCGGGAAAATGTTATAGGTGCCTAACTTACTACACGCATTTATATTTATAAGAAAATAACTTATTACAAGCATTTATTTACATGATGATGTCTGAGTTGATATTTTTTTGTTTTTATTAATATATCATCATTCGTTCCTTGGTCCTAGAGGTTGAACCTGATGATAAGTATTTTAAATATATCTAATTCAAGGAAGCTAATCAGTTGGCTGAACAATTCCCACATGTGGCTAAATTTTTTATTTTACCCCTTTAAAATTAAAGATGTCGGCATGCATAAATCTTATTCTCACATTCACATCTGTGATTGCTCTCATTTTTCTATTGTACTTTGTTCATATCATGCCATTAAGCATCCTAATCTCTTAATAGGACTTGCACTACTCAGGCTAAGTGTGTCCCTCGAACTGTTGCCACACACTTCTTTTTTCTTGCTTGCTTCTGCCCCCTTTCATCTGTAATAAGTATTCTGTTGCAAGAAATAGAGATTAACGAGGGGACTGCACATTATCATGTGGCTTTTTAGTGGTTCCATAGTAATTTATCTGGGTTTCCACTTTTCCTTTCTTTTATTCTGCATTCCATTCTGGATGAGACTTGGGAAGGCTAACAGTTCAAGCAAGGGGAAGGGAGATCTATAAGAGAGTTAATTGCTGGCTGATGGGTGCCACCTGCTATGGTGTTACAATTTGGAGATGATTTTCCTTTAGTTGATACTCTCAGCTGAAAATAATGCTGTTCTATACTTGAGGCATACAGTTTCTGTGGTTTGAAGATGATTGTTGATTAGATGGGTTCAATTGGTGTTTGAGAGATCCCTGATTGTTCATAATTAGTCTTGAATTTGGGATATGGACAAGTATTTTTCATTTTTAGGTCTTACCGTAGAAGCAATCTATAATGTAACATAAATTTGGGAGCTGTCAAAGTTTTTCAAACCCATCAGAATGGGGTTCTTTGGTTTCAACTGAAAGGAGGGTGATATGAACTTATACTTAGTATTGCATTTGGCTGTTGGCTAACTTGCCCATCTACTTCCCATCTTTCTTCTTTACTACAGCTTTCATGGCTTTGAACTTGGGAACTACAGCATGATCTTTTTTATAGGTAAGGAAGGCAGTTCGAGCACCATTTGCTGGTATGAGGATGGATTGAAGGTTTGATCTATAACAGCTGGAATTATGCTCAATTAGTTTAGTGGTTTTTGAGAATTGGGTGAAAATTAAATGATTTCAAGGCATTAGCAGGGGCTGACCACAGTCTTAACACTAATGGTTGGGACCCTATGGAAATTGGAGTCCTCTGTTGTGGTTTATGTAAAAATTACTTTTACGACTGCAGTTTGAAGTGGCAGATGAGAATTCTTGGGTGAATAACCTGTCATGGTTACAAAATGGCAAGTGTTGTCTCTGTCTCTCTTAGAAATCTCAATCGACGGAGATTGAATCATTGGATAGAATGTTAATTCTATAGTGCCCTGTCTAGATGTCTATGGTGACACTGGAGGTAATTATTTGGAAAGTTTGCGTTTTTCTGTCTTTTTTTCCTCAGTGAAATCTTTCCTTCTCTCTGTGGTGAATGATGGGGTTGATTATTTCATTATAAGTTGATTTTAATCTTTGTAGTTTTTGGAGCTTCATAGATGTCTGAATATATATAATTCTCTCATCAGAAGTCTAATTCTGAATTGTTGGGTGCTTTCCAAGATGTTGAGATAGGGAAATATTAATTTCTTAATTGCATTCCCTTTTTCTGTTCAATTTGGTTGTTCCATTCAGAGAATGGTATTACACATGAGCTTGCTTTTTTTGGATCTTAGTTGATTGTAGGATATGCTGACTTTTAGATAGTAAGGGCCTTTATTTTGGAAGATGATAACAGCGGAAAACAGGATCCTTTAGGATTTGTGAACCTTCCCTATATAATTAATAATTTGAGTTGGGAGCTTTAATGTCAGCAATATTATTTTCTGATGCCTTTTAGGTGTCTCTGGTTCTGGTTTTTGACCTTAAAGAAAAGGAGAAGAGGCTGAAGAGCACACGCGTGGGTGGGGGGAACCATCAAAAGCACAGACATTAAAGCAGAATAAAGAAAAAGGAAAAAGAAAAAAAGAAGACTTCTTCTATATCTTTGAACCATTGGATGATTTTAAAGGCACTATGTGTTCTCCTTGCCTCTGTATTTTGCGTTTTCTAGTAATTGCCGCCGGTGGCCTATTCTTGATACCTTTTTTTTTTTTTTTTTTGGTATCTTATTACTTTTCTGTATATTAAATTTATGTACTGTCATTCTTTATTGATGCCATTACCAGGTTATATACAGAAGAGTATTTTGTCAATGAAATGTCTACTGAAGGGATTCCAGAGATGCAGAGATCAAGCCTTATTTCCTCTGTGATTCAGGTATGCAGTCTGTTAAGTAATTTATAGAGGCACCATCATCTTTGTTATGTAATCAATATTATTATATTTCAAAAGGCTCTAGGTTTGTGCCTCGCTCAACTGCTCATTCTACTCTGAGGGTCCCTGACTTCCTATGGTTAACAAATCTGCCTGCTTTGTATTTCTTTAGGTAACATCTGCTTACTGTGTATCATTGAAACACATGCTTAGCATTTCTATATGTAATATCTGGAACCGATGCAGTTTTCTCAAATTATTAAAATGATATTTCAGTATTTCTTCTGTCCCTCCAGTTTGTTGGAGGTCAATGTGGACAGTTTTGAAAGGATTAATAATCTTTTTACTAATTTTTGCATTGTTCTGATTATTATTTGAGGAGAAATCTTTCATAAGAGATTGTAATTATAATATGGTTGTAACGAAGGGGGTTCCATGGAGATCAGTTCTCTGTGTTTACTGAACTTGAGGTTTACTGGAGTTTTCACCGAGCTTCTTCTAAGTAATAGGTTTTACATGTTTTGAATGATTCTTTAGCAAATCCGAAATTAAAAAATTTCTTATCTCTCTGTTTTAAATATACCACACTATTAAGATGTAAGATCTGTGGTTAGATATTCCCTAATGCATTATATGTTTTTAGTCGCAGAAGCAACAATTAGCACTCTTGTCAGTCCTTGCATCTGCAATCTTTTAGATTGGTTATACATGCTTTTGTTCACATTTTGTTGTAGTGTAGAGGCTGAATATTGGGTTTTGATCTTACAGTTAAAGGCCTTAGGCATAGATAATATCTTAGGCTTTGATTGGCTTTCATCCCCTTCACCCGAAGCTATGGTTAGAGCACTTGAAGTACTTTATTCGCTTGGAGTCCTTGATGATGATGCAAAACTTACTTCACCTGCTGGCTTCCAAGTTGCAGAGATTCCATTAGTATGTTGCCACTTGCCACTATTCTATGTCCTCGTTTCTTATACATGTGTTTGCAGTGTTGACTTTTGATTAAAATACATGGCATTCTTCTGTTTTTCTTACATTTTTTTTTTTTGCTGTGGGAAATGGATTCAGAATATGTTTGAAATGTTGGAATTCCTGAGCTTATAAATCAATGTCTCTTGCACTGGGTCTGGTAATTGTTACTGTTCAACTCCCTCCAACTAAAATGTTCACCTAAGAAGCATGGATATTGATACAGGATATGACACGATTTGATATTGTCAAGATTTAATAGAATTTTATATAAAACTTCAATTTGATTTTTCCTTGCAATTATTTTTTTAATCTTGGAAGAAAGCTTAACCTGATGTGTGTGGTTCAAACTAGTCACTTATTTGTAACTGCCCGAGATATGTCAGCCATCTGTTCAAAATTAAGAATTTTAATTCTGTACGAACTTCAAAAATCTGTCGGAATATCTATGGGAGTGTCCCAAGAGGTGACACTGTCCAACATGGATAAGGCTCCTCGTTATCATGGTCCATGCTTGACACCCACATTGTGGTAGGTAGGTCACTCCAGTGACTCCAGTCGCATATGAACATCTTTTAAAACATGCCTCCAGTTTTTTAATCGGAATCATTTGATTTTCCTCGACATATGATGTTGTGCTCTTTTATTTACTTTGTATAACTTGGACTCATCAAAAAAAAAAAAAAATTTTTACTTTGTATAACTTGGATATCTCTGTAGTGGTTTTGCAAGGAAATGTTGTCCTTTCAAAACTTTCATGGTTTCTGCTGCTGTGAACAAGCCTTTTTATGACATACCTCTCTTGAAAATATTTGTATTTGTAAGAATATAATACACGCACACACTTGTATGTGTATGTACCGATTGGGAGGAGGGATTGATGGAGAGATCTGTTGCTTACTAGTTATATCATGTAATTCTATACTTTGATGACCAGCACAATACTGGTCATTCGGGCCTCTGCATTGTGTATAATAGTGCAAAGATTAGGCATACACATTTTCGTGTATATGGTTTCATAGATGCCAAGTAAAAGACAAAAAGGAAGAAGAAAATATTTTGATTGTATTATTTTCTGTTGGGAACTACAACCTTTGTAGGATCCGATGATCTCAAAAATGATCTTAGCTTCAAACCAGCTTGGATGTTCTGAAGAAATCATCACCATTTCTGCTGTTCTCTCTGTACAGGTAAATGTTTTTCTACTGTACCATATCACACTTCTTAGATTTTATTGGAAGGGAAATAATGTTCAATCTCCACTTGCTATAAAAGGAAATGACATTATTGCCCTTCAAAAACATTTTCACTTCACAATTATTCTAAAAGGTACTCTTACACCCCACTTTCATTTCATTTATTATAAAATTCAAGTGGAGAAAAATGGATTGCAAATATCATATCCTTGTTGAGTTTATATTGAACCTTATGAAAAATTATGGATTTTGATGATTTCGTATCCAGTAAGTAGAGACAGTAAACCTGGCTTTAGCTTTGGTGGCATCTCCTCTATTATCTAAAGAGTAAGCCGAGTGTTTAAACCCAATTGGGACGAAAGTGGGTCTGTGAGTGAGTCTTCCTGTCGTCCAAAATTTTAGATGACTAGATAAGCCATGTTGGGAAGTATATGACACTATTATTTTTCTCTATACAATTATACTAGGTTTTAATGGGTAAAAATAATACTGAAAGAAAATGTTCCAGCCGATTTGTTCGCTTCTGAAATGTTATTGCCCAGGCCATGATGGAAAGTATTTAGCACTAGGATTTTTCTCTACGCAATTATACTAGAATTTTAGTGGGGGAAAAATAATATTAATACTGAGAAATATTCCAGCCGAAATATCACATCTGAAATTTCTTTGTACAGTCCATCTGGATTTCTGTTAGGGGAGCACAAAAGGAGCTGGATGAAGCCAAGATGAGATTTGCTGCTGCAGAGGTTCCACATCCCATATTCTAATTGATTTGTACAAGCTTGACTCAACTCAACTCTACATACCTTAATCCTAATTAGTTCAATTTGAAGCTAATACCTCTTTTATATTTGTGTCTTAAAAATTTCTATTTTCTGCATTTTCTTGTGCGAATTAGAATTTTATTTTATTCTTTATTTATTTTTTGTGTCGGTATCTCATGTTTTAGCTTAGGCTAGATTTGCCAGAAACATTTGAAGGTTAACTGCATGATATATTGCTAGAAATCATGAACACTTATTTAGAGGGTTCCATGGCCGTGTCAGGCATGTGTGTGACACATACACACTTGGGCCACAACATAACAAATATTTGATGTTTGATTTCAACTTCATAGTAACATCTCAAATCTGAATTTAGTATTTTGCGTTACAGATTTTTACAGTCCCATCTTTAGGGGCTTTGGCATTCGACATGCCTAAATGCACGCAAAGGAATTGTTTGGCAATTGCACCCATACTTTTGTAAATTACCCACCATTCGTATGAAAAAGATCACGTGTTACACCAATTTTTTTCTTCCCATTGCTCAGTATATGTAGGCTATATATTAAAATTTTACAATATTCTGCAGGGTGATCATGTGACCTTCCTAAACGTATACAAAGGATTTCTTCAGTCTGATAAATCATCCAAGTGGTGTCATAATAACTTCATAAACTACCATGCCATGGTGGGTATTCGTTTTGACATCAGCCGCTTTGAGTAACGTTTTTAAGTTGTTGAATGTTTATCTTAATATTCTTGGCTTTGGTGCTTAGCATCTGTTATGTAGAGTTTCACTTGCTTCTAGATACTCTTATTGGAACATTCCATAGGCATATCATTTATATTTATACTAGTTGTTTTTGTGCAGAAAAAAGTTATTGAAATTAGAGAACAACTCAGAAGAATAACACAGAGACTGCGCATAGTCTTAAAATCTTGCGAAAATGATATGCAGGTAACTTGGTGCAATACTTTTAATAATTCATCATCATCACCATCATCATCCTTGCCTTAATAATGTCAAACCACACGAATGCTCCTTGTCCATTATTTTCTACTACACACCATCTCACCCCTAATATTTAAATTTTAAAATTCATTTAACAGTTCATCCCACACCCTTTTTGTCTCTTATCTTCAATGCAAACTTTTCTACCTCTTCTTACCGGTGCTTTCATAGGTCTTTCCTAATTTTTCTCCTCACTCTCATTAGTAACCCTAACTCTTCTAGTCACTCTGTTGATCCATCTTAACATTCTCATTTATGCTATATTCTAATTTTAATAATTTCTTGGAGTTGAAAACATATATTTTTGCTGTGCCTGTAGAGGACGGCCTTGAATATTTTGTACTCCTCATTTTATATGGTAAATTACATCTTTTACTCATGCACATTGAGAAAATGTATGTTGCTTCGTTAGAAGTGGCCTAGACATTATTTATTTATTTTTATGCAAGACTGCTTTTCTTTCTTCTCTTCTTTTGCTAGGTCAGCTGCTACTGAGAACCAGAAATCTTACATTGTTTTAATTGCTCATTTAACAAAATAAAGGTTATGATATGAACTTTTGTAGGTAATACAACAATCTGAAACTGAAACTAATCTCTCTGTCTCTGTGTCTCTCTCTCTCTCTCTCTCTCTCGTATATATGTATGTGCCGCGCTCATGTGCATCTCATGTGTCTTATCTACTTAGTAATGCAGATTCATATGATAAGTCAAAGAGAAACAAGGAAGTGGAGAGAATAGGAAGTAAAATAAAATAAAAAAGAAAAGTTATCTCACACTAAATCAAGCTAATATTGAAACTGTGGGTCCACCTTGATTTTCAGTGTTACAAATGGTTATTGACATGAAACGTTTGAATCAAAGAAAAGCATAAATGACTTTCACTGGATGGACAATCACAACAATCTTTATATTTAAGTTAGTTCTTTTATTTTGCTGGACCACCAATTCATTTACTATTTGCTTTCTTGGTGTACCTGTTTGTTTATGTTGAATAATAATCAAAAACCACCTTTAATTTCAAACCGCCTTAAATTACACACTTAAAAAATTGGACAAGGATCCTTTAAGTTAAAAACTCACTACATTATCATAAAAGTTGAATTGTGGAGACACCGACACTTGGCATTATATATATATATATATATATATATATATATACCATGGATATATATATATATATATATATCCATGGTTTCTATTACACCACATCAGCCAACTTAATAAAACTTACAAAACTTTGTCGTTTTAGGGACAAGGAAGAGAGTCTTCCTTTAATGCTGATACTCTCTTTCTCTCTCAATGAGTCCAGGGAAAAAATCAAGAAGAATATAGTAACTGTTACAAAATCATATAAAACATTCCTATTCCAAAGATTTCTCTTGTTTATTCAAACCCTTGGCAATCATCAAACCCTTGGCAAACATTGGGATCGAAATTGTTATCTGTGCCCAACACAAATGTTTCATACATCCTTTGTAACATCTGAGCAAGATCATATTACTCACGCCAGTAACAAGGTCACAACCTCCGGCGACCGGAATTTGATGACTCAAGCCGATCAATTTCATAACAGATAAAATGAGGACTCTCTTAGGTTAGACGTCGTCTACTAACGGCGTCTCTTCCTGTGGCCCTAAAACAACACCACTTCTAGAATTTTATTTGTTAGCTTACATGGTGCAATATAAGCCTTGGATTTGAGTAATATGCCACGAGTCAAGATTTCCATAATGCAACAATGTAGAGAGTTTTCAACTTAGAGGATCCTTGTACTAAAAAATTAGGCCTGCTAAAAAGTACTTTGGACTTTTGCCGTAAGTACTACAAGGTTAACTGAGTTTGCTGTACCCTTGGTTTTATACTTTTATAGACAAACCTCTTTCTCCCTCTCTCTCTCTCTCACACACACACACACACCCACACACATACAATTCCAATCAAAAAATTATTGGGATATTTTCATAAGTACTGATCTGACTGAAGAATCCACAATTATCTATCCATTTGGGCTAAAGGTCCCTCCTTCGTCTTCAAACTTCTATTTGTGTTTTTCAGAGAAATCCAAAGCAATAGTAGATATTCCTTTATCATTAAATTGTTGTGAATTATAGAACAATTATAGCTATTACAAAATAAAAGGTTCTATAGTTTAGGCTTAGAGGGCTGTTTTTCTGGCCCTTTGTTTGTTCTCCTGGGATGCGTTCCCCTTTTGAACGCTTGCAATGCATTTCTTACTTATCAAAAAAAAATATCCTTGATACATCTTACATCTAGAGTAAGCATATGATGATAAATATGATTTGGTGGGTTTTAGAATCATCTTTGTTTATGCATGTGCAATTTTTGTCAACATGCTACCGTGGACAGGAGATCAGCTACCTTTCAAGTCGTTAGGTAGGATTCAGATAGTTTTGTCCCCTACACTCTTTTGTTGTAGAGATTGAGAGAGAGATACAGAGGCTGCAATTGTATATTTCTCATTATTGGATACCCTAAACAAAATAGGGATTATATACAAGTGTAAGAAAGACCTAATTACACAATGACCATAAACTATAAGTAATTACAATTTAACCCAACATAAATATATATATGTGTGTGTGTGTGTGTGTGTAAATGTTCTAACAGTTGCTTTATGTGATTCATAGCTCAACCTTCTAGAATATTGATTTCTTCTGCCAGATGCTTCTTCATGTTGCAATGATTAACGTTACAGCAATTTTCCCCGTTGCAGGTAGTAAGAAAGGCAATTACTGCTGGATTTTTCTCTAATGCTTGTCATTTAGAAGTGAGTATGAAATTTCGATTCTTAAATGATCATCCTTGTTTCTGTTTATGGAGAAATTCATTAAATTAAACCTTTATTTTTCTCAAAAAATTCTTAATCTTATATGATTGCCTGATAAAATTATGTTTTTTTTTATTTATTTTTTTTTTTATCTTGTCACAAGGCTTTTAGTCACAATGGGTTGTACAAAACTGTTAGAAGTTCTCAAGAAGTTTATATTCACCCATCATCTGTGTTATTCAGGTTAGTAGAAGTATCTAAATTGATTATTCATTTTTGCAAGTATCCACCTTTTGCCAAATTTTGTTGGTTATTCGATGATATGATTTCCGTATTTAAAACTTGCAATACCAATCTAGGGAAAGGGTAATGGAACAAATATTAGGAATCAACTGCAGCCAATGAAGAAACACTCCACTATTGAAGCCATTTACTCAAGGCAATTAATGGAAGTTTGCAGAAGTAAATATAAAAAGAAATATTTACATATAATTATAATAAATTTAGAAAAAAACTGTTAGAAGTTCTCAAGAAGTTTATATTCATCCATCATTTGTGTTATTCAGGTTATTAGAAGTATCTAAATTGATTGCTCATTTTTGCAAGTATCCACCTTTTGCCAAATTTTGTTGGATATTCCATGATATGATTTCCATATTTAAAACTTGCAATACCAAATTGAATGCCACTTTTATTGTTCTCATTCCGAAAAAGGGTGGGGCGTTGGATGTTGGGGAGTTTCGCCCTATTTGCTTGGTGGGGTGTATTTACAAGTTGATTGCTAAAGTCCTGGCCTCTAGGTTGAGGAAGGTCTTAGATGGTGTCATTTCTGATTCTCAGAATGCCTTTGTGGGAGGTCGCCAGATTTTGAATTCAGTTCTTATTGCTAGTGAATGTGTTGACTCCAGATTGAGTAGTGGGAATCCAGGTCTTTTGTGCAAGCTGGATATCGAGAAGGCGTATGATCATGTGAGTTGGAGTTTCCTCCTCTACTTGATGGAGAGGATGGAATTTAGGGAGCGGTGGAGGAGATGGATTCTGTTTTACATTTCTTGTGCTCGTTTTTCAGTTCTTGTTAATGGAGCTCCGACCGGTTTTTTTTCTAGTTCGAGGGGATTGAGACAAGGGGATCCTATTTCTCCGTTCTTGTTCCTTTTTGTGATGGAGGCCCTTTGTAAACTGATTCAGAGGGCGGTGGAGTTGGGATTCTTGAGTGGTTTTAAGGTGGGCAGGGATGCTGCTAGCAATTGGAAATTTCCCACTTGATGTTTGCTGATGATACTTTAGTACTCTGTGATGCTGATGCAGATCAGTTGAGATATCTGAGATGTGTTTTGGTTTGGTTCCAAGTTGTTTCTGGGTTAAAGGTGAATGTTGGTAAGAGTGTTCTTGTGCCAGTTGGGGAGGTCCTTGAGATTGAGAGGTTGGCATAGATTCTTGGTTGTCACACTGGCTTATTTCTTATTTCCTACTTAGGGTTGCCCCTAAGCGCCCCTTCGAGATGTGTGGGGAGTTGGGATCCAGTTGTGGATAGATTTGAGAAAAGATTGGCGGGTTGGAAGAAGCAGTATCTCTCTAAGAGGGGTCGGGTCACTTTGATTAAGGGTACCCTTTCTTGTCTCCCCACTTATTTCATCTTTCTCTTTCAGATTCCTTCCTCTATGGCAGAGAGGATTGAAAAGAGGAGGAGGGTTATTGCGTATAAATTTGGGGAGAGCAGTGGAGGGTGGTGTTATCTCGTGGACGTGGTCCTAGGGGAGTGGGGGTTTGGACTGGCATTTGGAAGGGGTGGGATGATTTCTGCAAGCATGTTCGTTTTCGAATCACGGATGGTAGGAGGATCAGATTTTGGGAGGATCTTTGGTGTGGGGATTTTCCTCTTACGCTCGCTTTACCACGACTTTATAGGATTGCTTCTCATAAGCAGGCCTTGGTGGTTGATTGTTATCATCTTGATAACGGGAGACTGACCTGGGATGTTCAGTTTAGGAGGCACTTCTAGGATTGGGAGATTGAGGAGGTTATCCAGTTTTTGGATTTTCTGTACCGTCAGACGATCGCAGCTGGGGATTCTGATTGTTGGCTTTGGATCCCTAACCCTCAGGGTCGCTTCGAGGTGAGGTCCTTTTTCAAGTGTCTTACGGTTGGCGCCGGAGGCTTTTTCCCTTAGAAGTCTATTTGGCGATCCAAGGCCCCCCTCAAGGTGGCCTTCTTTGCGTGGACTTCTGTCTTGGGTAGCATTTTAACCTAGGATAATTTGAGGAGGATGAACCAGGTGGTGATTAATAGATGCTATTTGTGTTTGCGTGATGATGAGACTGTTGATCACCTTCTGCTTCATTGTAGCATGGCTAGGGGCTGTTGGGATTTGATGATTGGGTTGTTTGGGATCCCGTGGGTGATTCCTAGCTCCACTAGAGGGTTGATTGAGGCTTGGAGAGGATTTTTAGTAGGGGCTCTCATTTGGGACGCTTGGAGGGCTACACCTCTTTATGTTTGGTGGTGTATTTGGCTTGAGAGAAATCGGAGATATTTCGATGGAAAGGGAAAGCCTATCTCTATGCTTAAGTTCTCTATTCTTTTCACTCTTTTTTGTTGGGTTCAGGGAGGAATTTCGATCTGTAGAGGAGTTGGTTGTTTCTTGGCCTCTTTGAAGGCTTGAGGCGTCTTGGCCTTGTTTTTGTACTTGGGTCTCGCTCCACTTTTTAGGGGTTCTTTAATAAAATTTACTTATCAAAAATAAATAAATTTAGAGAATGCATATAAAAAAGTAAAATATGCTAGACATCCCTTGGTTAAGGGAAAAAAAGCCTTGGTGCAATGGTAATGTTGCTTGTCATGACTCGCCCCGCTGTATAGATATTGTCTGCTTTGCACTCTATGTATTTACGATTTTCAAAACATGTCTACACTGTTAGGAGGCATCCGCATATACAAGTGGCAACAACCTTTTCCCCCTAGCGATGTAGGACATCACATTGTTCCATTGTGACCTGTAGGTCATGGGTTCTGTAACGACCCAGCTCCTCATGGATCCGGATCATTAAACGGGTCCTAACCCAACCCAAAAACATCCGAGGGTAATACGGTCATTTCACGTTACATTTAAATATCAAAGTCCGAAGAGGGCAAAATGGTAATTTACCACAATTCAATAAATTGAGACTCAAGGGTACAACGGTCATTAACTTGTATCACATAGTAAATGAAATAAGGTTCGGGGCAATATAATCCTTTCGAGGGTTAAAAATATAATTATGGCATTTTATTGGGTCATAAAATAATTACGTGAGACCTCACTTGTGTGCCAAAGTGCAATTTGGGAAACTAAACACATATTACTTAAGAGACAGAAACCGGTCGACGTATCCACACCATACGTCGACTGGTTTGGGTATGAACAGTGGGAAAACCCACTGCCAAGATACCGGTTGATGGTTTGGGACATGATACCTACGTCGACTGGTTTGGAACGTATGCAACATTAACCCACACTGTGAAGATACCGGTCGACGTATGGGAAGCTATAAGTCGACCGGTACCGGGAAATCTTCACTTCCACTTCCCACTGTCCAGTGATAACCTAGATGCACCAACATTGGTAATTCAAACACCCACGCCACTACACTTACGTGTAATTTTAATACATTTCAACAATAATTTTAATAACAACAACCACGTTATTAACATAATTTACCACACGTCACTAAAAAACTAGAGAATTTAGTGTAATTAAAAGTTAATTACATTTTCTTAATGGCCATGAATACAAAATTATTTACATTCCCAAAATTACAATTACCCATGAAATGGCCAAATACAAAATAGCAAAAAAACATCTTCCAACAACTTTCAAGCTTGCGGAGGAATCTCATCTACCATTTCTTTGCCATGACCTGAAAAAAAATATAAGTATGGTGGGGTGAGCAATTTGCTTAGTAGGTGGCGCCTAAGACGCACCTCATGAGACTCCGTGAATCCAAAACAAAGAATAGGCCAATAGGAGTTGGGGTCATTCAACATAGGAAAAGAAAAAAAATACAACATAGTTATCATTCTCAACACAAATAATAAGATGCAATGGAGATGCAATGCATGCCGATGCCGCTCCCCATTTTCACAATCAGGATCATTGCCTTCAAACTGTTAATGTAACCCCCTTTGGTGACTCCGCAGCGCCGAGAGAAGGATTGGCTACTGTCCCTGACCTTTGGTGACTCTGCAGCGTCATTATGGGGCCCAGATAGCTCAACCACGTTAGGGCAATCTCCTTAGTTCCCTCTAGGTTACATTAACCTACCAGCCCGTTGGTGACTCCGCAGCGACTGGGTTTTCCAAAACACTTTCATTAAAATATTCTTTCCCAAAACTCCCCATTTTCATTTTAAAAAAAACCATTTCTTCCCTTCATGCAACCCAATGGCGTACATGCATGTCTCATGATCTCCATACTATGAAAATGAGGAATTTGACACAACACAATTAAGCATGTTCTCATACTTTTAATATTTAAACAATAATGGATTATCACAAAATACAATAGGGCATGCTTTTATACACCATTCATAGCATGTGAACAATACAATAGGCATAAAATTCATTATATAAGCATGCTTCTCATATAGCACAATCAAGACAAGTCTTCACATAATCACATATATACAATCAAGACATTTTAGGCTACAATTAACACCAATAAGCATGCTTTAACACAATTCAAGTAGAATAACTCACAAAGGTGCATGAATAATGTGAATTAGGAAGCCCCTACCTCAAATTGAGCAAAACCCTTAAAATGATCAAGAATTTCGAAATCCAAGGGAAGCACCTACACTATCGCGTAGATCTCGTCGTGCTCTTCGTTTCACCTCAAACGTCACTCAAAAACTCCAAGAATTGAAGAAGTTATCAAGTCTCAAAGATTTGAAGCAAAGAAGAAGAAAAAATGGAGTGAAGGTAGAGAGAGGGAAGAGGTAGCGGGGAGAGAGAGTGTGAGAGACCAAAAATGGTCTCTAACCAATTTGTTTTAATGGTGGGTCCCACCACTAATTCTTTTCTTTTTCCTTTTTCTTTTTAATTTCAATTTACACCACATACATAAAAATGCACCACTTAATCCACATAAATTAAAATGTATGAAATGCAAATGGACCCAACCACAATCCCGTACACATAACGTGAAAAGACGAAAATGCCCCTGTGACAATGAAAATTCCGGAAAAATAAAAAAACGCTGAAAAATTGGAAACGTCACAAGTTCAAAAGAAGGAAATCACCTCTCCGCATGCGGATGTAAGCCTGTGTACATCTGACCCACTTGGGTTTGCCCTTTGCCTAAGACATGCCTTGGTTCCTATCATTTGCTAGTAAGGAAATTCTAGCAACAAAGTAAATACATGGAAAAATATGTTAAATTGAAATGTTCAGAATCATGAGAATTACAATTGAATGTATAAAATGTAAATCCAATAAAATATAGGAAATGCCAGTATAATGATGATAGTTGTAGGGTGTTTTTCTCTTTCAAATACTATGAAATGAACAAAAATTTAACTTATTTTACAGCTCTTAGAAAGAGACAAGGACCATCAGGTTTAAGAATGTTGCAACATGCATGTGACCTTGTTGCTAAATACACTAGGAATGATAACAAATGTGGTCATATCAGGTTTAGGTATGATGCATACTGATTGTTCCTTGTGCAGAATGCAATGTAGTGCAAGTAGGTGCCACTCAATTTTTGGTTGGATTGTGCTCGCACAAGAAGTCAAAATCTACCTAACATAGGGTTGTTTCTTTTCTCATCTTTCCTCTCTTCCTTTCTTCCATTTTCTTTTTCATTTCATTTTCCTTTACCCCTCCACACCCCCCTAACCCATTAAAAAAAAAAAAAAAAATCTATATATTTATACATATTGACCATACAGAATCTTAGTAACCCAACCCTTTTAAATCCCAAATTGGGAGGGTTTGGGATTATTCTTTTAAATTATTTTTCTATTGTAAAAACAATGCATCTCTAGACAGTTTATTCCTAGAAAGGAAGCTCTCATTGTAAAGCCAATGCTCATACTCGATTCATAAATTTTTTTTATCCAACGCATGATAAAAGAAACTAATTCACTTTACTGCAAACTTGACAATGATGATTTTTATTCCTTGAACCTTGTTTTGCAGAGTTAATCCAAAGTGGGTTATATACCATTCTATCATGTCAACTGATCGACAATACATGCGCAATGTCATCTCCATAGATCCTTCTTGGCTGAGAGAGGCTGCTCCACATTTTTACAGGCAAAAACAGCCCAATCCTATTGCTCTCTGATTCCTCTTTTGCTAGTATAGCTGCTCAAAACATTTTTACCTTGTGAGCACCACCACCACCCGATGCTTTTCAAAATGAAACAGAAGCCAATCAGCATTGTCCGTTATAATAGCCGCAGGAGATCTTGTACATGTACTAGTTGTAAACCTTCAAAACTGCACGTTACTTGATTATACCTGTACTAATTTTACCGTCTCTCTTTTCAAGTGTGCTATTCTTTATTATTAGTATTTTTTATTAGGTAAATACTCTCACATTCTGACAAATGTCTACTATAAGGCTCTCAAAGAGGAGAGATTATCGCACCTAGGCCAATGGCCCAGTGGAATATACTTTATTAATATTGAGAATTATAGCTCTGCTTTAGTAATTTTGGTGCTAGATTGACTGATGTTACCTTCTGTGAAGTTGTCCAGCAAGGCTTGTATCAACCAAATATCTATGCAATATCAGTAGTGCCTAGTATCCTGATGTGTACGGATATGATTATTTTTATTTTTATTTTCCTTCAGAATTTGGAGAAGATATCTAGAAAATGAAGTTACAACTCCATTGGCTCATCTTGAGCAGAGTCCAGTCTTTGGAGGGTTTTGTTACGTTTTCCTTACCCCAGGATAGGGGTTAAATTTTTTCCAAATGACCTGAATTTTCAATTCTACTTGATTTAGTTAAGTTTGACTCTAGTATTATTACCATCAACATCATAATAACTAAATATCGTAAATAGCAAGTGTTTGATTATTTAGAGTTTTGGAGTTAGACTTTTGAAATCTCAATATTTATACTTAGTAGTTCCTCCGTTCTTTTTCTTTTAGGTTCTATAATTTATTCATCAATAGAATTAGTGTACTACAATGATTAGAAAGAAACTCTGGGTTTATTACAGCTGTGCTTGAATAATCACTACTGCTTGTTACAATTATTTAGATGCTTATATCTATATTAATTTCTTTCAACTCTATTGAACAGCAAAATATGTCTGTTGGGTACCCTAACTAAATTAAACATATTGCTTCTTGATTTTGTACAATACAATGGCAAACTTAATGCACAAGGTTCCATTTGAAGAATTGTTTCCTTATTTCGATTTCATATAGTCATGATATAATAATTGAAAGAAGGTTAGCCCTTGTCGTCTTGATTTTGTATCTAGGTTTAATTTTGCGCCCTATTGAATCATAGAGACTATTTCACTATGATGCCCCTAATTAGGTTAATTCTCTACCTTCTGCAATCAACTTGAAACGTCTCTCTACTTTGTTAGTGATCATTTTTTTTCAAATGACCTCAATTTTCAATTCTACTTGATTTGGTCAAGTTTGACTCTAGTATTATTACCATCAACATCATAATAACTAAATATCGTAAATAGCAAGTGTTTGATTATTTAGAGTTTTGGATTTAGACTTTTGAAATCTCAATATTTGTACTTAGTAGTTCCTCCGTTCTTTTTCTTCTAGGTTCTATAATTTATTCATCAATAGAATTAGTGTACTACAATGATTTGAAAGAAACTTTGGGTTTATTACAGCTGTGCTTGAATAATCACTACTGCTTGTTACAATTATTTAGATGCTTATATCTATATTTCAATTTCTTTCAACTCTATTGAACAGCAAAATATGTCTGTTGGGTACCCTAACTAAATTAAACATATTGCTTCTTGATTTTGTACAATATAATGGCAAACTTAATGCACAAGGTTCCATTTGAAGAATTGTAGTATAGGGGTTAAATTTTTTCCAAATGACCTCAATTTTCAATTCTACTTGATTTGGTCAAGTTTGACTCTAGTATTATTACCATCAACATCATAATAACTAAATATAGTAAATAGCAAGTGTTTGATTATTTAGAGTTTTGGATTTAGACCGTTGAAATCTCAATATTTGTACTTAGTAGTTCCTCCGTTCTTTTCCTTTTAGGTTCTATAATTTATTCATCAATAGTAATGGTGTAGACTATAGAGTACTAGAAGGATTTGAAAGAAACTTCGGGTTTATTACAGCTGTGCTTGAATAACCACTACTGCTTGTTACAATTATTTAGATGCTTATATCTATATTTCAAATTCATTCGACTCTATTGAGCAGCAAAATATGGCTGTTGGGTACCCTTAACTAAATTAAACATATTGTACTTTGATTTTGTACAATATAAGGGCAAATTTAATGCATAGGGTTCTATTTGAGGAGAGTTAGATGTATGTTGTTTTATTTTTTTATAATTGTTTCCTTGTTTCAATTTCATATAGTCACAATATAATATAGTTGTTTCCATAATTTGAATTCATATGGTCACAATATAACAATTGCACGAAGGTTAGCCTTCGTTGTCGTGATTTTGTATCAAGGTTAATTTTGCACCCTATTGAATCATACCGACTATTTTAGTATCATGCCCCTAATTAGCTTAGTTCTCTACCTTATACAATCAACTTGAAACATCACTGTACTTTTGTTAGTGATCAAATTTTTTATTTTTATTTTTAATTAAAATAAAAAGCCTTAACTTTCAAGGTTTTGGTCAACTAATTTCCTCAACTATTTGGAAGTGTGTAACCTATCCCCAACTATTAAAGTGTAGCTAACATACATTCAATTACTATTTTACTCCTCAATAATGAAAATTAAAAAGAAAATTGGTTGTAAAAGATCCCTTAGTAACAAAATAAAAAAATAAAAATAAATCCAAGGTTCTAGTATCTCCTCTACCTCCTAAAGTGGATGGTAAGGATTCGAGTTTCCAAAAAAGTAAAAAGTGGGTGCGTGAGTGGTGTGCCGTATGTTTCTAACCAATAAAAAAAATAAAAATGATCCTTAGGTCATTTTGATGAGAATGATGTTATAGAAATTTCAGGTCCAAAAATGTCAATTGTCGCTATTGCAATAGTTTGTAACCGGCATAGGAATATCTGTACATTTTTTGGAATAGTATAAGGGGGGATTTTGTGAAAAATGAAAGTTGAAGTGAGTTTTCTAGAAATGGTACAAGTTAGAAGGATTTTTTATTTATTTTTTCTTCTTTTACCCAAAGAAAAACTATGATGAGTGAGCAGTGCATATGCAGTTCCAAGTGATGCATGGAGAAATCCATTGCATTTTTGGATGTGGACTTGGATGTCTTAACGGTTTGATGAGCTCTTGGAGTAGTTGTTAGGAAAGACTTGAAATTCACAAAGTCGTTGCATGGAATGAAATGCTCAAAGCACACAGCACTTGTGTTATAAAATGGAGATGAAATATAGAACGTGCGAGTTGAGAGGGAGAGAGAACAAACTAATTAAACAAGTACAGAATTAGAGAGAAACTGACCGCCTCTATGTTTCGGCGCCTACAATCCCATGCACACTCAACTGCATTCACAACCCCATTTATAAGTTTTTTATTTTTTATTTTATTGGGAAGAAATTCACACACCTATCCGTCTATTATACTATACTAAGAACATGCATGTCTAGTTATCAACAGAGCGAGTGGCCTAGCAATACCAGCCCCTACTTTCCAAAGAGACGTCGAGGTTATGAACGTATTAAGCACTGTTCTTGCATTAATTCAGTAAGAATGTCGTTTTTTGTACAAAAAAACCTATTCACAAACTCACATTGTCTTTAAAAAGGCTTGAACCCTGAACCTTCCTATTTTGAAAGGTGTAAAAGTATAGCTATACTAAAATCCCTTACAATTCCAAGTGATGCAATGAATTCCAATAAATGGGGTGCACCCCACTTATACGGAGTATTATATAAGGCGGATGCATGAAACTATTAGGTTTTACACACTCTATCACATTGATGGTACTTGGCGCCAATTGACCACTTCTCTGGAATTCAACATCAAAGTTTTGTTGATTTTTCATCCGACTATAATTCCTTGGCTAAGACATGAAGTCAGTCACTGAGAGCCACTCTCTCTCGTCATCGGCTTGTGTTCAAACCCGTGTCCAATTATATACAAGAATCTGAATCTATAGTCCAATTAACCCTGAGTTCCAAGGATGCATGAGAAACGCATTCTAGAAGACATTTTATTTATTTATTTATTTATTTAAAAGGCAAGATGATTGATAAATAATAAGCAAGTATTTTCCGATTTGTTATACTTTCTTTTTCTTCCTTTTTTTCTTTTCATGAATTATGGTTTTAAATATGATGAATGTTAAATCATATATATATATACTTTGGAAAGAATTAAGAAAAAAAAAACCACATATATATTTTTGCAGTCACAAATGACGAACATGTACATCAGTTCCTCTTATAAAAATACTCTAATGAAATTCTTGTTTTGATTGATTAGACAGGGAATTGATTGACACTACTATATAAGGCGTATGATTTACTTTCCAAACTCAAATGAAGTTTGAACAGATCTTTATTTGGCTTTTCTGCATGTTGAGCGACTTTTGAACCTATACATGAAGAATTAGTCCTATGCTTGGACCGTCACGGTCATGTATATACATAAATATATTATTTAAAATAACTGCGTCCATCGAAAGTATATATAATAACCTTATTTAGAACCATATGAATATGACTGTATTTTAAAGCCATAACATGACTTTCCAACTTCTCATCTCCAACTTTAATATTGCTAATTTTAAACCCATTTTTTTGTTATTCCATGTATTCATCTCCTTCCTTCTCATTCTCTCTCATGGGTCCATTGCTGAAGCTGACAAAGTAACTCTACATATCGGTGCCATCATTGATGTTGATTCTCGTATCGGCAAAGAACAAAAAATAGCCATGAATATAGCTCTGCAGAACTTCAACAAGAAGTCCAAGTTTCACAAGTTATCTCTTCATCTCCGAAATTCTGGCAGTGACCCCATCCGATCAGCCTATGCTGGTTAGTTAGTTATCTTCTTCGCCTTTTTTGAAATTCTCTCTTGTAATCAAGTCATACATATATATGTGTGGAAATGTTTGTAACAGTATATTTACGTATGAATGCATGTGTGATGTGATCATGAGACATGATTGAATATATGCATGCTTTTTTCCTGTTCATATTGATCGATAGTTATAATCTAAGACAACTATAACAAAATTATACTAAATATATTCAAGTCAAATAAGTAGCTAGGTATACCGTTAACAACACGAAAGGGAAATAACCACATGAATATGTGGATTGACATGAACTTATCTACTTATTATTTGTTGTACTTGGATTTATTTTTTGGTTTCAAGCTAGATACAGTTTCCTAGTAAATTAATATTTTGGGGTTTCTGAATGTTTGATGCAGCTGAAGAGCTGATCAAGGAGAAGAAAGTCCAAGTGATTATCGGCATGGAGACATGGGAGGAAGCGGCTTTAGTGGCAGACATTGGAACCCGAACTCAAGTCCCAGTTCTTTCATTTGCAGCTGCTGCTATTACATCCGAATTGGTGCGGCTTCGATGGCCTTTCTTGGTGCAAATGGTTACCAATGGCTCCGAACAAATAAATTGCATTGCAGATATTGTTCAATCTTTCAAATGGCAGAGTGTTGTAGCTGTCTATGAAGAAGACATCCATGGTGGTGATTCCGGGAAGTTAACCATGTTATCCAAGGCCCTTAAAAAGGTTGGGTCTACGGATATAGACTATCATCTTGTCCTTCCACCATTTTCTAATCTATCTGAACCTGATCAGGAATATTTTGTTAATAAAGAGCTGTCTAAGTTAGAAAGCAGCACAAAATCTAGGGTGTTTATTTTTCTTCAGTCATCACTACCGCTGACAAATATTTTGTTCAAAATAGCGAAGAAGAAGGGATTTATGCGAAAAGACTCGGTGTGGATAATTGCAGACACCACTGCAAGCCGTCTGAATTATGTCAGCCCTCCTGTTGAAGGTGCTCTCGTAATCAAGCCGTACTGCTGTGAAGATACTACTTCTTTCCGAGACTTTCATTACCAGTTTTGGCAAAGTTTCCGAGTAGATTATCCTGGGGAAGATAACACTGAGCCGGGAATTCATGCACTACGAGCTTATGATAGCATTATGACTATTGCAAAGGCGATGGTGAAAGCAGCTGGTAAAATGAATTCCTCAAAAATGTTGGATAGTATTTTATCAAGCAGCTTCTCTGGCTTAACTGGTGATCAAGTGCGTTTTGAAGAGGGAATACTATCAAGTTCCCCAAAATTCAGTATATTGAACATTGCCGATCATGAATACAAAAACCTTGGCTTTTGGTCATCAGAGTTTGGTTTCTCGGATAGCCCTAGTACCAAAAATATTGGAGGAAGTACTGAAACAATTGATAATGGAGGTGGTAATAATATGAAAGAGTTGGCTGGTTTCAAGGAGGTGATATGGCCTGGGAATCCAGAGAGAATCCCAGGAGGATGGGCACCCATGAAAATTGCAGTTCCTGGTAGAGTCTCTTTTAAGAAGTTCCTCAATGCAGAACGGAATGAGAACACGGATGAGAAGTACTTTACTGGTTTTAGTATCAGTCTTTATAAGGAGGTGCAAACAATTTTGAAGCAACGTTATAACATTCATCTGCCATCTCCCAATGAATTTCAAGAGTACGATGGCAGCTACAATGATTTGGTTGAATCTGTTCGTAACAAGGTAATTCACACATCACCTAATCTCTTGATCATTTTCATACATTTGTCAATTTAGTTATAGCCATTTAATTTCAAGTTAAGTATACAAGTTAAATGCACATCTATCTATCCCCCACCTGCAACTACATGTTACTGATAAACATGTCTGTTTTTTACTTGTGGTTCAAAATTGATTGAAGACTTTTGATGCTGCTGTTGGTGACATAACGATAATAGCAAAGCGTTGGAGCCTAGTGGAATTTACTGAACCATTTATGGAGTCAGGTTTGTCGATGGTAGTTCCAGTGAAGCCTGAAGCTTCGAAAGCATGGTTGTTTCTGAAGCCCTTCACCATGGAAATGTGGGTGGCTACGGGGATCATCTTCATCTACACAATGCTCGTAGTTTGGTTCTTGGAGCAACGTTCCAACCCAGAATTTAGTGGCCCATGGAAGGAACAGCTTGGCAATGTGCTTTGGTTCACCTTCTCTACTCTATTCTTTGTTCACAGTAAGTTATATTATTTACAAGTTATATACCCCCTAATTAGGCTAATGGTAGCATGAAGTCTATTTTCTTTGAATTCTCTCCAAATCATGGTAGGCAGTGGATATTTATATATGTTCTTAAATAAACAGCATTTAGTACAAATTATCGGTCCTCATAACCTTGCCCCCAAAACTAAGTATAAATAAAATGGTACTGCTTGTTAATTCTCTCTGATTGCTGTTTAACTTTATATATGCTAGTTATTGCATAGGGGCAAAGAAATAAAATCCCACTAATTTTCTACTTTGATATATACCTGAGAGTAAATATTTGAATAGTGAGGAGGCCACAGGGCCTATTATAAAATATGAGATATAATTAGCAATTGCACGTATTGGAATTAAAGCCTTGTTCATCTAGAAAAGTATTTATACACAGATACACCTTCTTCTTTTTTTTCATTTTGAAGGGGAGAAGATTCAAAGCAACTACACTCGATCCGTGATTGTGGTGTGGCTTTTTGTGGTGTTGGTCTTAACACATAGCTACACTGCCAGCCTCACTTCAATGCTCACCTTTTCAAGACTCCGGCCAACTGTGACAGATATCGAGTGGCTACAGAGGACAAATGTAAGAGTGGGGTGTGCATGCTATGGTCGTACATTTGTTCGAAATTACTTGGAGCATGTGTATAAATTTAAACCAGAGAACATCATCCACATCAGAAACCAAAGCGAGTACCTGAGGGCATTCGAGAATGGCAATATTTCAGCAGCATTTCTTGAAGTCCCGTATGCCAAAGTTTTTGTCAACCAATACTGCAATCGGTACGAGTACGGATCATTCACCAGCAGATTTGGAGGATTCGGCTTCGTGAGTAGTGGATGGAACTCTTTGCACTCTTTTCATTCTCTATTATCACATAGTTAACTGCGACACTAAACATACTGCAGGCATTGAATGTCTTCGACTCATTTTATTGATCTTTGCATAATCTCGAATAAAAAATTAAATATAGAATGACAACTCTGTTTATGAGCTTACGGTAACTAATTGTGATTAAATTATTCTCATGCAGGTCTTCCAAAAAGGTTCTCGATTAGCTGCTCTTGTTTCTGAAGCCATTCTTGACATATCAGAAAATGGGAGGCTAAAAGAATTAGAAGAGAGAGAGTTGTTTGATCGCTCCTCAGAGTGTTCAAAATTCCGAGCTACTAAAAACAGTGATAGCTTGAGCATTCAGGGCTTCTTGGGTCTATATATAATCTCTGCAGCTACTTCCACCATTTGTCTTCTACTCTACCTAATTATGAAGAGGAGAATCCCGCGATATTTGAGTAATGCAGAAACTAGAATTCCAGAGAGAGCTCCATCTTCTGGAGATCACGTTGAACTCAACATTCGGTGAAGCTTAGAATGATTAAAGGACAGGAATGAAAATGGTGTAATTTCAGGATCTCCTGCACTTTTGGTCAAACAAGTTTCTGTTTTGAATCTATACTGTATATTAATTCTAGTAGAAGAGCAACAAAATTTTTTATATGACCAAAATAAAGAGGAAGAAGAAGAGTACAAATGTTTGCAACAAATATAATATCCCAGACCTCTTCCATCCTAACAGAGAACCAAACCTTATATTAGTTAAATTTTATACAAGACATTCGGTGGTTCATATTGTTTACTAGTAACATAGTTCTTTTAGATTTATAAGGAAATTCTAGCCAAAAATATATATATATATATGAAAATATATATGATGTTGTATTTAGGAGTATCGAATCTTTTCTCTAATTCCAAATTCAAGGTGTCGGCTCCCAAATATAAATTGAAAGGTTTAGAATTAGAAGAGCTAAATTTAATATATGGAATGTAAATACAATAAAATATTAAAAATGAAAGTATAATGGCGATAATTCAAGACAAAGGATTATTTAAAATAACAAGATTCCGTTTTCTGAATCCCTAATATATATATATATATATATATATATATATAATAAATGTATTCCATTTGGATTGACTTGTCAAGTTTATTTGTGGTGAAGTGCAATCAATATATATATATATATATATATAAAAGAAATAAATGTAATAAGTAGGATGGAATCACGTTAGACAAATTTGAGATAAAATGAGGATATCCTAAAAAATGATTGCACTTTACCATAAATAAACTTGACAAGTCAATCCAAACCGATTGCACTGAAACTTTTCAAGTCGTACTTAAATTCTCAATGGGCTGTTAGAATTGGCATTGGGCCTTGTAACATCTTTTTGGTTTGGGCTCACCGAGCCTGTCCCATTTAAAGCTGTCTGGTAGTAGGTTGGTTTTGTTTATTTTTCATTATTATTAGAGCGGTGCTACACGACCCGACCACTATTTACCCGAAAAAAACCGACTGCGTAGGTGGCTGTCCACCGTGGCAATTTTCCTACTTGTGTTTTTTTTGTTGAACCGGATGTCCCTTCTCTCTCCCTTCTCTCTCTCTCTAACAATCGGCGACCAACCCATATTTCCGGCTAAAATTCCATGACCACCGGTAAACCCATTCTCTCTCTCTGCAAACTACAAAATCTGTAAGAATCAAACTCACACCTTTCATTCTCCCTCGTCTGTTGTTCACTAACTCCAGCCGCCATCCATAGCCGATTAAGCTTGCCCATCTCCAGCTGCTCCTCGCCGATGCAATGAACCGTCCGAACCATCCAGCTGGGCACTGCCGTCGCAAGCATACCGCTCTGCAAGTCCAAGACCAGGATCTGTTTCGCCGACTCTCCATGACCGGATCGGACCCAGCCATTTCCCTCTTCGCCGACGCCGCCATCAACATCCTCACAGTAAACTTTTACCGTTGTCCAAAGCCCACACTCACTGCCATCACGCCGCCGCAAGTCACAATCGGTGCAGCACCACAGCCCATCTCTTGCTCGCCGCCGCCGCCTCCATCACGACAAGATCGACATCTCCGGATCTTCATCGCCTACCCAACTATTCTGTGATCATCTCACTTCATCGCCGACGGGATAATCTCACTTCATCACGGCATCGCCATCATCTCACTTCGTCGCCGGAATTGTGTTGGTCTCCTCCGGTTTGGATAGCAAAGGCGGAACTGGGTCTACCGTGGTGGAGGTGAGTTTGGTCCTCGGCCATGACGGTTTGATGGTTTTGATACAATCAAGGTTGGCGAGTTTAAGTATGGAGAAGAAAGCAGATCAGCGACGGAGACGCCGACGATGGAGAAGACAAGCACCGGCCGGAGGCTTATGGTTGCCGACAGTGAAATCCCGGCGATGATGAACTTGGAAGAAATGGGTCTTCACAAGAAAGCAAAAAAAAAACTTGTGATTAACCGAGAGAGAAAGGAGGGAGAAGGGAACGTCCGAGAGAGATGAAGGATTCTCCACCGGAGAGAGAAGGGAGAAAGAGGATCGAAAGAGAGATGAGAGAAAGTAAAGTTGCGTCAAGAAAGGGAAAAATCGTCTGCCAAGTTATACCAATCTGCATTTGACAAGTGTGTGTCGGCTAATGTCGGGTGAACACTAATCGGGTCTTTTAGCATTTCTCTTATTATTATTATTTTATTTTATGGTTATAAAAAATCAACCGATTCCTTCGAATTTTAAGATGGCTTACAAACTTCGAATATGTGCACCCGGCAAACCACAAATAGCAGCGCCCTGGTATTTACAATTTGTTCCAAAAAAAAACCCCTTTTTCACTTGCCCATCCATGTGGGCTTGTCTAGTTCTTTTGTTTTCCCTGTTGGGTTATATATATATATTTATATATAGCCGTAGTCGTTACACAAGCACAGCTGTAATTAATAAATCCGAAGTTTGTTTCTATCCTTATAGTGTTATATATATATATATATATATATATATATTTTAATACAAGGATTAGAAATATATATATATATATATATATATATATATATATAGCCTTAGTCGTTACACAAGCACAGCTGTAATTAATAAATCCGAAGTTTGTTTCTATCCTTATAGTGTTATATATATATATATATATTTTTTTTTAATACAAGGATTAGAAATAATAACTTCTTGTTACAGTTATATTATTGGTTGTTAGATTATGGTTTGTTGGTATCCTATATAAAACATTGTTGGGTGGATGAGCTCAAAATCTCTAAAACACAAACCATAATTTGCAGTTGATATCTGCCTCTTGTAATTTATACATCAATAATGCGCTAACTAAATTAACTGTATTGCGTATTGAATTTGTATTTGGGCTACTTTGCACAAGATGAAATTATATCGGATTTAAATATTAAAGTTACATTTTTTTAATAATTAAAATTTTTAAAAGTGAAACATGTATTGCAAAAAAGAAGGATATTATAGAGCTAAATTTCACTCATAAATTTCAATTTTCTATCACTATTTTGATAAAGGAGTTTTTTTTTCCCAAAATAAGTGCTTGCTTGGTTTAATTTTTTGAATTTTTTTTAAAAAGAAAATTTCAGTTAAAAAATCTTTTTCGATTTTCGAAATTCTTAAAAACTATATATATTTTTTTTAACATAAAAACTGTTTTCTAAGTGATAAACTAAACAGGTTTCTATGAAATTATGAAAGTTGAGATAACTCTTTTATAGTTTCTCTATTTATTTATTTATTATAATTTTTTTGGTAAGGTATTCAGAAAAAAAATCCATTGTCAATTTGTCATGGTTTTAATTACCAAAAACAAAAAATTCATGGCTGAGACATGTGGAACGGTTTGATGACCGATTGGGCAGGGACCGACTTATGTAATTGGAACTGGAGGGACCGACTGAATTTTTTAATAATTTTGTTTATACCTATAAATTTTTGTGTAGTATACAAATGTCTCCATAACTTTTATCCTTTTGCTTCTCCTTTTTATTTTTTCCTCTTTAGAAAGAAAAAAAGAAAAAAAAAGGGTAAAGAATATCTAATAGTATATTTTCATGAGCAATACCACTTAGCATTATGATTGTATTGTTGTAACAACTCGAACCTGAGGGTCTGAATCGCTAACTGGGTTCTTATCCGAACCCGAAGTCAACTAAGGATACTACCGTCATTTCCTATGTCAATACATAATAATAATAATAAAAATGGGATCATAGTTACAAAATATGTCAAAATAGTCCACTAACTTGTCAAAAATTGTGGAGGAGCGTTGTCCGTCACTTTCCTTTCGTATCCTGAAAAATGTTAATAATAGAATAGGATGAACTAACCGCTTAGTAGGAAGTGTCTAAGACACACCTCTTACGACGCCGTGAATCTATACAAGGAATAGAATACAAGTAAATGGGATCATGCTTCAGGAAAAGCAAATAAAGCAACGGTGATATCAACAAATACATACGCAAGTCGTTTAACCACTAAATATATAATGTATACCAACGCAATGCCATGCCATGTAATGTCGCTCCCCATTTCAGAAACAATACCGTTTCAACTTCCAAACCGTTAGTGCAATCTGACCCAAGATACCTCCAAGGCGTCACGAATGGAGGGTTGACTAACTATCCACGACCATAAGGCACTTCCAAGGCATCGCATTCGGCCTAGTTAGCTCAACCATACTCCCTTCTAGACTACACTAACAACACGGACCACTAGGTGCCTCCTAGGCGTCTGGTTTTTGCAAACACCTTTGAAAATATTTTCCCAAAAAATAATTTTATTTATTTTTAAAATAAACTTTTCCCTTTACTTTCCCAATGGTAATGCATGAATTATGCAATTCCTTCAATACTATGACAATATAAAAATTTGTACATATCGTCCACATCAATTAGATATGTTTAAAATATGAATTTCCACACAATATCACATTCTCACATTTCTAATGTGATGACCCGGATTTTTAAGTTTTCAATTTAATTATTTTATGATTTTCAGACTATCTAAATTAATTATTTATTTATTAAAGTTAGTGG